CACCTACAAAGACCTCCTGGAGATAGAAACTCAGGGGTTCTCTGGGTGAACGGTAGATTTGTGGGCTCACCAAATAGTCCGCTTTATTTCTATTGACGTGAACGTGGCTTAAATCTCCATAGCTCCATCAAAGTCTTTTCCCAGCATTGGGAACGTGCAGGGGTTTGCCCTGTGGTGATGAGGGCTCAGCACCTTGCAGGATCCATCCCACAGGCTGCAGGGCTTATGAACAGCAGGACCAGGAGAGACACTCTTTTAAAGCTGACTGTAACCAGCACTAAAGGATGCCCAGTGTGGGGAGATCCCAGTCACCGGATCTGAGCTGTCCCCACAGAGGGGTATCTTTTTGGCTTGCCAGAAGCCCAGACAGCATCCCTCCTAGAAGGGGCTTTTTGCTACAGTGCCACCCACCAGCTCTGGGGCTCAGGGAAAGGTGGGTGCAAGGTTTCTTGGCTGCCTGCAAGGCTTACAAAAATGGGCTGGTGGACGTAGGATCATGGCTGCCAGGCTGTGGTGGAGACTGATGGCCCCAGGGGCAAGTACATCCCCCCAAATTCTTGCCACTTTCCCCCAGCAGTGGTATTGCTCTGCTGGTGCCTCAGTGCCCCATAAAGCTACATCTGCACTGCAAACGAAGAGGTGGTGAGTTCCCACAGGTCATTTTTAAAACAAGAAACATAAATCACATCTGTTGGCTCATTCCATCCAAATTCAGCTGTTGAGGCTTTGCCAGAAATATTTGAGTTTTGAGGGTGGTTTGTTATTTTTTTCTAATCCACTGCCAGAGTAGAGCAGAAACAGGGGGCTTGGGGGAAAACTTTCTGGAAGATGGCAGGCTGCTGTTATCACTGACGTCGGCTCATCTTCTCCTGATACAGCTGCCTTAAATTCAAAGGCTCCCATCTCTTCTAGCCATCAGCGAGCATAGTTCATATCTGATCACATTTTGCAAGAAATTCTTCTGGATTTGTACTTTTTAATTAGCAAGTGGCTTAGGTTGCTTTAGTTCTTTTCTCCTGTTCAATATTCTTTTCAGTCCCTTAAAAGAATATCCACATTGTACGAGTGCTTTCTTCTTTACTGGGGAAACAAAGATATGGACAAGATTTTGCTAAGTAATCTGTGGCTGGAAATGAACTGAATTCCCTGCTTCTCCTGGGAAGCTGGTTTGGGTTTCCGCGTCAGCTGGGAGCGGGGTTCTTGCAGCAGTAGCCTTCTCCCACCGCCAAGGAAAGCGTTGCATTTGCAGGTAGATCTTGCCAGCATTTTTGTGCTGCGTCCAGAGAGTCTGTGGCAGAGCAGGGGTGCGCAGGTGCGTGGTGGGGTTACACCTTTTTGGTTTGTACCATGGGGTCCCTTTCAGGTGGAGCGTGGTGTGGGGGTGTGATGTGACTCAGTGTGGTGCTTGCTTTTCCCAGCACGCGGTGTGTTGGGATTTTGAGACAGAGTTTCTAGGGTTGAAGCTTTATGCTTGTATTTTTAAAATTCATCTGTAACTTTGGGTTTTTCCACTGTTGTAGGATAGGCCATAAATTCCTCCTTAAAAGGCATTTAGTTATTTGAAAAGGTTTTGGTTCATTGGAGCTTGAGTTTTTATGGTTACTGTGCTAAAATCTTGTTAGGGAAGCTGTTTAATATATTACTCAGCAGCTCGGAGTCTTGGAGAGCACCAGTATGCGGGGGACTATGCGAACACCTCCACTGCCCAAGAGGATCCCATATTTCACCTGTGTCTTCATTCTCAATCATCATAGCATATCCAAAATCACTAGGAAGGAATGATTACAGATCAGCAAATTCCTCTCGGTGTTTGTTTTTTCTGTTGCTGGAAAGGCATGCTGTGTTTAAAAAAAATGCGTTTAATCCTTTGTTGGGCTGAGGTTGATTGAGGTTCATACTAAATAGGAGATTACCACATAACAAGTCTAATCAGGGCAGACTTTTGAAAGCCCTACTTGCTTTTCCATGCATAAATGCTGCCATGCCTTGTTTCTGTGTCTCCCACTGCAAGCTTTTCACATTCTTTCCAGGCTTTAGCTTGTAGTCCTCCTTGTGCCATAATGGCAGTTTTCTTAGTAAAGCTCAGCCAAGGTCACACAAAGAGAAGGGGGGAAGTGATGGCTGGGAGGAGAGAAGTTTCTTGATAGAGCTTGTCTGGGAGGTCTAGAACAAAAAAAACCCAACTAGGCACCCAGATATGGCTGGGAAGCAGCAAGTGTGCTTGCAGAAAGCTGCTGCCTGTTTGACCCCAGGGACAGCACACTTCAGAGACCGGCAAAAGGAAGGGGAGGTGGGAAAAAAGGGGAGAACGGGGGGGAAAGGCAGGAGAGAGGTTGGCTTGTGGCAGTCCGCTGGCAAGGGCAGCGTCATCTCCGCTGAGAGGGGTTGCCCCCTCCCCATTTGGCAGTTTCCAGAGGCAAGTGAGGTTATAAGTTTGCAGCTGAGCTTCAGAGCAGTCTCAGCCACGTTGGCCTCCCTGTTACCCCAGCTTTGAGACTCAGGCTGCGTTGAGGACGCTGCTGGATGTGGCAGAGCGGTGAGCTGGGCACGAGGCATGCAGAGGGGCAGCCTTTTCTCTGGGTGCCGTGCCGGGGCCAGCGCAGACCTGTCCTGCATGTTAGCTAAGGGAGGAAGGGCTCAGCGGTTTGGTCTTTGAGTGCCACCCTGTTCTCCCTCCCAGCTATATGTAAACCCCATGGAGGACTAAGTAGCCATTTAAAGGTCATGCACAAGGTCTCTGAAGGCAGCGTTCCCGAACCATGGTAAAAGAGGAGGGGTGGGATTTCCAGCTGTACCAGTCTGCTCTGCGCTGAGTCCAGTGGGGTGGGGAGCAGGAGGGGATCCATGGCAGATAGATGGTAGCCCAGGGCCCAGGGCCCTGCCTGATGCTGACTCACTCTCAAGTCTCCAGGGCTTGGGGCAAAGCTGTGTTCACGTTCGCAGCCTTTCCAGGGTCACTGGGCTGCTGAAGTCTGAGTGGGAGCATCCAAACAGGCGTAGCATCCAGCATCTCCTTCAGTCTGGATGTCTCTGAGCTTCCTTCTGTCACTCTTTAGTCTCTTCAAGGCCAGGTTAAAGGAGAGAGAGAGAGAGAGAGAGATGCCTTCAGGAGTAGGTAAAGAAGGATGCTTGTAAATCTTCTAGAAAGCAGTTTTGGGAATGGGGCAAGACAGAAGCTGCTTGCACTTCCCGTCCGCTGCTGCCTCTCGCAGAGCACTGACCTGGGAGGGACCAGCTGAGGGCATGCCAACTAGAATGAGTAGATGCTGCTTACAGAAGGTTTCCCCTTCTCCATATAAAGTAATTTTGAAGGGAAAGTACTTTCCCAGCAACTTAGGAGACCGGAGTCTATTTTCAGACTTGCAAGAGCTTGTGAGGGTAAACCATGTCTGGCTTTTGCTTTGATTTGCTGTCTCACGGGGAGTGTTCCCAGTCTGCATTTCACCCGGGGCTGTGGCGCGGCGATGCAGTGCTCAGGAGGGCTGGCTGGGAACCAAGCTGGCGCCCGCACGGCCTCAGCATACGGTATGGCTTTGTACGTTCGTGGTCATGACTTCCCACACACTCCCAAGTGCCTGGGCATACCCCACAGCACTTAGTGTCGAGTTTATTTTTGCCTTTAGTGACATACCTGTAGCCCCCTGATTTTAGCAAAAAAGTTACTGCTCTGCTTACTGGGGTGTGACATATTTTTTTTTTGTGTGTGTGTGTGTGTGGACACCAAAGGAAGATCAGCGAGGACCAGCTAACCCTGAGCTGTGACAGACCATCAGGTACCAGCGAGGGGAGATGCCAGATCTCTGCCTGCTGTGGCTGAGCGGAGAAAAGGTGCCTGGTGCGGGAGGGGTGTTGGGAACAGCTGCCAAATGATAGCCTCATCGAGGAAGTCACAGGCTCTGCTGCATGCTGCTGTGGCAGAAAAGCAACTACATAACAGCAGTGGGAACTCCTCTCTGGCTGCTGCTTTTGACATAACACAGGCTGTCAGCTCCCTGTGATCTGCAGAAAAAACAATCCCTGCGCTTTCAGGCTCCTCTCCCGGGGTGAATGAGCTCGCTGGCTCTATAACGGGCCAGGGAGAGCTGTTTGTCTTAGGAACAATGGGCAGAGCAGGGAGGAAATGCCTGAAGTGCATGCGGAGTGCAGCTGATCTCCATCAACGGCCTGCACTGTCCTCTTGGCCAAGGAGCTCCTGCACGGTCAGGACAAGTACCATCAGGGAGCATCTTGTACATCCAGTGCCCTGGGTCAGTCCATGGTGGGGAGCAGAGACCACTCGGCCATGTTTATGTATCCACCATCTCGGGGGGGGTCTCTGGTCTCGGTGACCATTTTCATCAGCAGGTGCAGCCCACAAGTTCCCAGCCCAAAGGAAGCAGCTGGAGAAGCGTTCCCCGTTGTGGGCAGCATTGCAAGTAGAGCAGCAAGGCCTCCAAGATGCAGGCTGGAGGATGAGGGCCAGGGAGATCCTTGCTGGCAGGAATCAAGTCACCTGCTCTGTACAAGGTGGGCTCGTTTCCGGTCCTGCTGAGCGCATGGTGGTCTCGCTCCCTTCACAAGGACCCCCAAAGCAAGAGGAGTGACTTGCAGGAGGGAATGCCCTCACATCCTCTGAAGTCCCTACAAGGCTCTGGCATCCCCTGCCCCTCCTGTTGTGCCAGGTTGCCATGTCCCCTGCCCATCTCTGGCTGCTTCGGGGGGCTGTGGGGGAGAACGTGAGTGGGACCAACACAGGCAGCGGGCAGGGTGGCTGCCATGCACCTGGGTGTCAGCTGGCTGTGGTGGGAGTCCAGCTACTGCTGCAGCCTGTCGTGATTTGACTTTAGATCTGCTGACTTCTTGGCCTTTCTCATTTATTTTTAGCAGAGAAAGAAGCCCAGCTCTAGAGTTTTGGCTATCTGGATTGAAGTCAAATACCCGAGATACCAAACTGACTCTTCCCATGACACTGTCGGATCTCTGGGGGTGTGTATTCCCTCCCAGCCTCAGGGCTGTGCCTGATGGAGGCGGAGGCCTGTGAATGCTCCCAGTTCATTCTGCAGAGCCTCACGTCCTCCTGGTTAGATCAGGACGTACATCCCAAGCTTGAGCTCCGGGCTGCTTCACAGCGGCCAGGCTCTCGCTGTGCTGTGGCTGCTGCGCTGAGCCAGCCGGAGCTTCACTGTGAAGCTGTGCAGGCAGTTCCCCTTTCCAGGGAAGACAAACGATTTCTCCTCGCCCAGGAGGTGGGTAGAAATTCCCTCTCACTTTTCCCCTGCCAGCCGTTGCTGCAGGAGCATCCTGGCGTGGCCTGCTCCCGGCAGGGTGAGCAAACATCCATGGGCGGAGGGTGTCCGGGCTCCTGACTCGGGGAGAAACGAGGTGGCAGCCAGGAGTGAGACACGGCAGGCAGTGGATTTAGTGGTGCGTTGAACGCTGCCAGTTCCCAACCAGGGAAGAATTGAGCCAGATCCTGGAAGAGCATAACGGTGCCTTAAAATCCGTAAGATTCAGGATCTCTCCTTTTCTGCAGTGGGAGATGGTGGTCATTTGGGGGGCAGCTGTGTTTCTCCGGCCTCGTGGAGAACCCCAGCAACCGATGATAGAGGACGGTGCCATACAGGCGCAGACATAGGCCTGCCTCTCAGGGACGGCCCTGAGCTCTGCGCCTAGGAAGCGTTGCACACGGAGGGTTTCGCATGGCCAGAGCAGAAGGCGTTCAGCAGCAGGCTCTGCTGGGTACACACGAGCTGGAGGTCCCTGCAGCAGACGGGGTGAGCTAAGCAGCCTGGGGACATCCGGGTCCCACCGGAGCTGCCAAGTGCCCTATTGTTCAAGGGACACCAGAAAAAGAACAGCAGGGCTGCGCAGGAAACAGCTGCGCTGGGGACGAGGAGCAAAGTGCATGACCCGAGGTGGCCCCGTCGTGGGGACGGCAATACCCGGGGCTGGCCACAGCCCTGCTGCTGCGCAGGGGCCAGGCAGGGCTTAGGGCAGGAGCATGCTGGGGGTGTTAACCCATGGATCACCCCCCTGTGCTATGCTGTGGTCGTACTTAGGGGAACAGCCTCCAGCGGGGTGTTGTGGAGAGTGCAGAGCTGGGCACTGCCTGGAGGTACAGATCTGCTCTGGGCCACATGGAGCAAGGATAACTCCAGCACCCTCCCAAGCAGGGAAGGGAGCTGTGACTCCGACACACTCCTCTCCTGGCCAGTGCACAGGAATCAGTGCGTGCAGCAGCGCAACACAGGGTAAGCAATGTAGTGAAGCACTGCTTAAATCCTTTTCTCAGCTAATCAGTTCTGTGCAGATGAGGAGCATCTGGGTTGTGAAGTCTGCCAGGGAATCAGCCTGTACTGATAATTAGTTGTGGTTTTAATCACTGCCCGGGGCTACACATAAAAATTCCCTGCTTCTACACAGCTACCTCCTGTTAAAACCAGGACTGGAATACCTTTGTAATGGAGAATTTGGATTGCAGCCACCCCTGGTCTCTTAGCAGCCTCCCACCAGCAGGCCATGTACAGTTATTCCTGGACAGGGAAGTCTGAGAAGAGCACACACTTCTCTGGGATCACACCAGCCTCTCAGGAGTGAGGAGCTACCTTGGCATCCTTTGGGCTGAGACAGAGAGATGGCTGATGTCCTCTGGCTGGCGGTACCAGTGTGGAGCCCAAGGAGGAAAAAAGATGCCAACTTTCTGCTGGAAGATGTTGGTGCAGTGGGACGCACCTGAAACCTGCTCCCGCTGCCTGCAAGAGGGCTGCAGGGCAGAGTGCACGTGCAGCGCTGAGGTCAGTGTGTGTTCAGGACCCCAGAAGGAGCATCAGGACCCAAATCTGCCCCTTTTTTAAAAAGGGCTGGGAATGAGCCATGGTTTGTGAGCCAGCATACCCAGGGGCTTCACTCAGGCTGGCTCTGGAGTACTTGTTTGCATAGGAAATGCCTTCTCCTGGTGGATCCTAATGGGAGCTTCAGTTTCCTGTTACTGCCTGCATCTTCAGAGCAGAAGGGGAAAATCTGCTGTGTTCTTCAAGCTATCAATAAGTGGAAATAAACACTATGTGCTCCTTTGATCTGCACTTCCTACTGTGGGGAATTAATAGCTGCATTTTGCAAAACAGCCCCACTAAAAATGGATTGAACAAAAAAGGCCATTCTTCCCTTCCTGAGATATGGGTTACGTCTCCAATAATTCCCAGCCTGAGGGGTAAACATCTCCAGCCAGATCTGCAAAACAGCTCTGTTCCCATCTGGCTTTGGAAGCATCTCTGTTTAACCAAGGATTGGAGCTCTTTGGGGAAAACTGAGCTCTGCATTCAGCTGGTTCCTTTCCAAACCTGCCCCCAGGGAGACCTCTGCCACCCTCCAGCCAGCCTCCTTTGGCTGACTGTCACATGCGGGTAAAACAAGAGCTGCATGACATTGAATTCTGCTAGCCAGCTGCCATGGGCTTTGCTACAGATTAAAATCATGCTGGGGAAAAGGATGCTGCAAAGCTGGCCAAGCTCTCTATGGCATGGGAGGGTGAGTGGGACCCACCCTGTCTCCTAGGGGGTCCTTTCCTCCATGCCAGCAGAATGTCAATGATGCACGTAGTGGCTGCATGGTGAGCAAAGGCAGCAGTTTGTAAAGTCCTGCTCAGTCCCTAAGAGAACAGAATACAAACACTATCTTACGTCTAACATCCGTCTTGCAAGTAGATGGGCTGATCACCTGAACCACTCAACATTTGAGTTTCCATCTGGGGCAAGCGCCCATCAGCCTGAACAGCTTAAGGTCGGATGCACGTGTAGCTTTGGAGAGAGGAGTGCTGTGATGTGGGTTCAGTCCAGCAAGCTTTGCTCCAAGCAGGGCCTCTCCTTCACCTTATCTTCAAAACCCGTCAGAAGTGACCGGCCCCACTTAAAAGGCTTGCAAGGAGACAGACTTGCAGTCACCCTATGCTTAAAAGCATTTCTCCCTTTTTGCAGGACCCTCCATCGTGACCCCTCCTAAGGACATCTGGAATGTGACGGGAGCACAGATCTACCTGAGCTGTGAAGTCATAGGCATTCCAACCCCTGTCCTCATCTGGAACAAGGTAAGGGCCCTGCTAGGCGCTCTTAGGGCATAGCAAACCTGAGGCAGCTGAAACTGCCTGGTAAGGATAAAAGCCATAGCAGATCCCTCCTTAGAAACACACATCTTTGATGAGTTCTCCCATCTGTGCCGTTCTATCCACCCCCAAACATCTGGCTTTGCTTAGTCTTTTTCTAAACTCTTGGTTGATCCCGAGGCAGAGCAGGACTTGGGTTTCTCTCGGTAGCGCCTGGTATTCAGAGCATGCAGGGAATGTCCCTTGACCTGCTGTCACCCTGCTGGCGGCAGCGACTCTGAGGTGGCTGGACACGGCTCGCCCACGTTAGGCACAGCAACCGCGCGGGGCAGTTATCTCCAGTAGCCGGCTGGTTTTGGCAGTGCACTGGTAACAGCTGGCTTAGGGCAGGGGCCAGTCTTGAGCAGAGAGGATCCCAGCCACAGGGCTGAGAGCCACCGCATGGCCCCTGTAGCCTCTTAGAATTGTAGAATAGAATCACAGAATGGTTTGGGTTGGAAGGGACCTTAAAGATCATCTAGTTCCAACCCCCCTGCCATGGGCAGGGACACCCTCCACTAGACCTCTTCAAATGCCACAGGTTTGTGGATGCTTGGGAGGGGTCTTTAAGTGGAAACAATACTAGATTAAGAATACTATAGAGAAAAAAAACCTCGATTGGCCCAGAGATTACTGTGTTCTGAGACAGCAAACTCTATTCATAGGGGTTCCAGAGCAGACCGTCAGGTGAGCATACAATGTAGGCGTGATGACCCAGGCATTTTCTGCTTGTTTACAAGCAGATAGGTTTACACGGACTGTCAGTGCTGCTTTGCTTTTCGTGCCTCTTCCTCATGGTCAAGAGACTGCTTGACCTGTTGGTAACAAGGTCCTGTGCGACGCTCTGAGCTCAGATACGCAGCACTGCGGAAAGAGCGCAGTACTGCGCTCTCATCAGTGCTGTGCCCACCAGGAGGGACTGCCTTGTTTGCTGCAGCAGAAACCTACAGGGCTGTCCCTAGCCTGTTGGCAAGAGGATAGGTCCGTTCCAGGACCAAAATCCAAACAGTCTGTTCTCTGCTTCCGCCACAGTAAAAAGCCTGATCATCTGGAAGGTTGTGGGGGAGCCCCTCCAAACAAGTACAACAGCCAGCAACTGCTGTCCCCCCAGTCCTAAGCCAGAAGGCAGCTGCTCCAGCCTGCTGAGCTGAACGGGATTGCTGTATGGCTACCAGCAGCTGCAGGCAGCTGAATCCTCCCTGTTCAGCACAGGCATCATTTGATGGGCTAAACACACCCTTGGGAACACGCACACGAGTTCTGTGAGACCAAGTCAGTGCAGGGCATGTTTGCGCACCCCACTGCCCAGCACCGTCCGCACAAGAAAGCTGTGCTGCTCTATCTGTTCCTCCAAAAAAAGAGAGCGTGGCCTCAGCCCAGATGCTGAGGCACTGGGGTAGCAGGGCTACAGTACATGGAGGATAAGGTGAAATGCTGGCACTAAAACCAACACTGCTCCTGCACAAAACACGATCATGTAAAACTAGTGTTGGTCTTGGCTGTGTGCAGGTATGGTCCTAACAGTTTGAGCATAAATAAGCCCCAAAGTTCTGACCTTTTTGCCCTTCTGTTTAGATAATTCGGGGACAGTATGGTGTCCAGAGGATGGAGCTTCTGCCTGGGGACCGGGAAAACTTGGCTATCCAGACCCGAGGGGGTCCTGAGAAGCACGAAGTGACCGGCTGGGTGCTCGTAAGTACTTTGTGTATGCACAGAGCTGCACAAACAGTACAGTGCAGTTTGTAAACAACTCGTGAGCAAAGAAGAGGACAGAAGACGCATGGCAACAGACAGGGCATTTAGAGGAAAACAACCTGTGTGAATTAGACGTGAAGGGTAAGGGTATCTGCTGGCTCCAGTCTCACCCATTGCAGTTTTTCACCTGTCTAGCATGCAGTAGAAGTACACATTCTATGTTCAGAGAAGGCTAGACTTAAGTAAAAGATCTCCTTTCTGTGTGTCATTACTTTTCTGCTGCCATTAGTGGGAAGGAGACCCTCTCCATATCTAGGAAGGAGTCAGTACAGAGGCAAGGCATCCCTAAGAAACACTCACAGCTGAGGGGCCCTTATAGATCTGGCAGAACTGTCCTTTCCACACAACCTGCCTGAGAAGAGCACAGTGCAGAAGCCATCAGCTCTCACTGAGCAGGCCTCCTAAGCCACAGGAGTACCTGCAGGTTAATCGGTAATCTCCACGCATCAGAAGGAAGCAGTACGGTGGCCAGAGGGAGCTGCTGTGCATCCCAGGAAGGGAATTGCAAGTATGATGGCTCCCAGCTGCAGAGAAGCTTGCAGCAGGGGAACAGAGCTCAAGGTGTTGGTTCCCACACCACTTGCAAAACCAAGAGGTGGAAACAAGGAGGGGGAAAGGTTTGAGCCGATGATTTTGCTGGACTGACTGAATGCAGCAGCATGTTGCAGGAAGGCTTTTTCTTCCTGCCTCCCTCCCTTTACCAAGCACGCAGTGGTCTGACACATCTCCAAATGAAGTAAATAATGAAAGACAAGGAGGGAGCGTTACAGCACACATCTGTCCTGGCAGAGAAGCAGGCTAGGCAGATCCCCAGGAGTGGGTGCTTGTGTCAAACCTCACTGGAGAGAGCCACCACAATCTCAACCAGGCTGTTTAGAGCAGACAGAAGAAATCATGCAGTCAGTGTGGTTCCCTAAGGGTTAACTGCTACTTCATGCACTCTGTTCATCTTGTTATGTCTCAAGCAATTAACAAATTATATAAGATACCTTATATCTATCTATACACAGGATACTTACTGGGGGGTGGGGGTGTATGTTTCTGCCCCTAGATATCTCCTCTGAGCAAAGAAGATGCTGGAGAATATGAATGTCATGCATCAAATGCCAAAGGAGAGGCAACAGCTTCTGCAAAAATCCACGTTGTGGAAACTCTGCATGAAATAGCCCTGACCAAAGGTAGGGAGTATGGTTGAACACTCAGCAGCTCTCTCCTCTTAACAGTTTACTCAATTACTTGATACAGAAGGACCACCTCTGTTTAGTACTTCCTGAAAAAGAAACACACGCTAGAAATACCAGTTTAACATGCAGCTTTTACTGGGTTTGGCAAAACATTCCCAGTAAATCTCAGCTGCTGGAGTTCTCGAGGGATTGTTAAATAAGCCCTCAAATGCTGTGAAGTACTGGAGGTTAAGATATCAGATTAAAAACACCTTTTGGGGTTTTTACAAAGCACTTTTCAGTGGTTTTCCAGCCCTAAATTTGTATCCTCCTTTCAGTGTTCTGGGGACACTTCCAAACCTGCCCATTTCTCCTGGGAGCAGTATTGGCACAACCAGCCCCAAGACAAAGGGGGAACTTCACATAAATTCCTGCCAAGTCCCTGCACCTCCTTATTCCTTCCCATCCTGCAAACACCCTAGTCCCTGCCATTCCCTCTGCCTGCTGCAGTGTCAAACCTGGGAGGGGACGGATGTGCCACAGCATGCCTTTAAGCAAGACCTGAAGCCTTTACTCTCCAGCCCTCAGCCAGTTTTCCAACCCAGGTCCCTCTTTGCCAGGCTGTGTGTAAAGCTGATGGCAAACCACCCACCCTCGTTCCAGCTCCAAAGAGGATGGCTCAGTAGCAAGGCCACACGTGCTTCAGAATAAATCCGGAGCTGGAACAGTAATGGTAACCATGCTAGAGGCAGAGGCGCTGGGAACAAACCATCCAGCTAGCCGATGCTGTGATGCCCAAATCCACTTTTGGACATAATCCTTAGTTTTAATCCCAGTAGCTTTATCTGGATGATATAGTCTTGACTTTCTGTATCCTTATATCCCTAAATAGCTGAAAGACTTCCTTTGGGAGAGTATTAACAGCACCTGGCATTGAAATAAGAACCTAAAATGAATCCCAGTATGACTTACACATAGGAACATTGCTAAAGGTTTTTAGCTAGTCTAATCCCTTTTCAAACATCTTATTTATGGATGTGAATGAAATTGAGTTTTACCGAGTTGTGCCATGAGCAGCACACTTATACCCCAGAATAGATGTTCACTCCGCTCTCCCAGTAACTCCACTGTGAGGCTGTAGTACTGCGTGTATCGCCTCATGGTTTATTTCTTATACACGCACCATGTGTTACAGCTGTTTCTTTTCAGCCCTAGGAAAGCTCTCAAGCATGCATGGTGTCCACAATTACTTAAAGGAAATTGATAATGTTAATGGACCAAACTGTCAGGCATCATAGCTACACGCTATGTGGTTAGGAAGTCTGTCCCATATATCCAGGTGATCTCAGCACAGAAAAATGCAATTTATTACCACCCCCTGCTGCTGTAGTCCTGGGGGAGGGAAGGAAGGAAAGGAGGAAGGAGGATTAGGACCGAGTTGTCAGGTCCCACCCTCAGCTAAACCACCAGAAAACTCTGTGTGCTACTGCCCAAGTTGTGATATTCCCCCTTGGAACGGTACAGGGCATAACATGGTTTTGTTTTTCCACAGACGATGGTGCTGAGCTGTGATGTGAGGACTATCACTACGCACAGTTTTAAGTTAGTATTTTAGAAAGCTGCAATCTTTGGCTTTTTCTAGCTCACTAATTATTCCCTCTTAACTCCCTTATTCTTTGATTACCAATTTGCTTGCACACTTTCACAAATAAAGAGGATTCACAAGTTTGATTACAAATTTTAATTCTATTTACAGAAAATAAACATACTTTTGAACAGCACATAGCAGATGAGTAAAACTGTACTTTAAATGCAACCTACACAAAATGAAACAAAACCTGAGCCCTTCAGTCTCACCATTAAAAAAACAACCCCAAAACCCTTTTAAAGGCTAAACACTCATCATACGAGGTGCAATACTCATAGACATCAGTTCTTGGAAGAGGAGTTTGCAGGCATAGGGCATCCGAACCAAAGATATCTGGAAAGAGATTTCAAAAGGCTTGTGAAAAGTGCTCCTAAAGCATCAACTTCCACCACCCTCTACGCAAATAACTTGTCAAGGTTTTGGCTCAAAAGTGAATCTGAAGTTATGTGTGAAAGCATTTAACAAGAATTACAGACAGTAACAAAGCAAGGGAGAAGCTGAGACTGTAGAGGCTACACAGCAGCTATTCAGAACACATTTTTAACGATAAAACCTGCAGCCATGGGATCTGATCTTAAACAAGAACCATTTAACAAGGGAACATGTGCACAGCAAAGTGTGCCTAATGTGTGGTAAACACAGTTAAGATTTCTATAACACGTCTCTTCAGTAACCTGAATGTCATTGTTAAGAATTGCAGCAGTCGGTCCCTAGCACAAGGACAAGCCTGTTTAAGGCAACTATTTTTATCTCTGCTACCACTTTCCCTTGACATGGTTCTGTAACCAAGCACATACTACAGAGCTCTTTTTTTTTTAATTAAAAAAAAAAAAAAGGCAACACAAAAGACCTCCCATGGGGACCCAGCTCTGCAAGCATAAATATCTTCATGGGGACAGTCACAAGGGCAATGGCTCTAAATTCCTGTAATTCTGAGTTTTACTTCTAAAAATAAGCTTCCAAGCATTTAAAGTCTCTGAAAACTCTGCACTGCAAAATACTTGAACAGCATTTCCTGTCAAGTGACAAGCCAACACTGTAAATTTAATAAAGAAAAATCCAAATTAACCAGGACACTTTAAACGCTTAAAACAGTTATGATCTAAAATAGCAATTGTTCTGGTGCTTCTTTAAATATTTACTTCCCTATCCTCTTGTTCACCCGAGTGGTATTTCCTCTTACCCACAAAGAGAAACTCTGGCTGATGAAAACCAGACATACCTGAGTTTTATTACGACACCCCCGGCATTCATAGGTGTGAGTCCTTGTGTTTGCAATTGCCATGATGCCACAGAGGTTACAGACATGGACTTGGTATGGGTCTGAAGCTTCAAACAATCTTTCTCTCAAGAACTGGGCTGCCCCATGAGCAATCTGGCAATCTCGTTCCATTTCTCCAAACCGAAGGCCACCATCACTGAAAAGAGAAAAACACCTCAACTTTTGAGTTCATTGGCAAAATACATCAGTTCTTGTGGTGGAACAGGTAACATCAGAAACACAACAGCAGTATTACAAGGCAGCTGTGCATAAATTTTTCTGTAACACCTCAGAATAAAACTGATAGGGAGAACGTAAACACAATAATTTTTAACTGCTGCTGAGCATTTCTAAAGTAGATGTCAGCTAACAGGCACAGCACAACTGTACAGCAAAATGAAGTAAACAATTAAATCATTCCCTACATATCTGTGGTGGGTTTAACCTTGGCTGGCTGCCAAATGCCCACACCAAGCAGCTCTCTCACTCCCCCATGTTGACAGGACAGGGCGAAAATAAGACGGAAAAGCTCATGGGTTGAGATAAAAACAGGGAGATTGCTTACCAATTATCATCACAGACAAACCAAACTCAGCATGGAGAAAATTAGTTTATTGTCCATTAAAAATGGAGTAGGATGGTGAGAAACAAAGACAAAGGTAAATCTTCTCCCCTACCTTCTTCCCAGGCTCAATTTCACCCCTTCATTCCCAAGTCCTTCCTCCCCTCCCCATGGTCCCAGAGGGAATAGGGGTTGCAATCAGTGCAACAGTTCCTCTCTCCCACTCCTTTCTACTCACACATTTTCCCTGCTCCAGTGTGAGGTCTCTCCCACAGGCCCTTCCTATGGGGTGCAATCCTTCAGGAACAGATGGCTGCAGCATAGGTCCTGCACAGATCACAGCTCCTGCCAGAAGCCTGCTCCAGTGTGTGCTTTCCACAGGCTGCAGGTGGATGTCTGCTCCACCATTAACCTCCATGGGCTGCAGGTGGACAACCTGCTTCACCGTGGTCTCTCTACGGGCTGCAGGGGAATCTCTGCTCTGGCACCTGGAGCACCTCCTCCTTCTCTGACCTGGGTGTCTGCCAGGCAATCCTCTCACATTTTCTCACTCCTCTCTCACAGCTGCTGCACAGCATTTTGCACCCTTTCTCAAATATGTTACCCCAGAGGTGCCACCAGTGTCACTGATGGGCTCAGCTTTGGCCAGCAGTGGGTCTGTTGGAGACAGCTCTAAGTGGCCATGTCCAGCACAGGGCAACCCCTGGTCCTTTATCCTCCCCAGCTGCACCTCCCGCTACCAAAAGCTTAACACCTGCACCCAATACATCATCTTAAGCCAAACACATCAAAATGGGTGGCTAATTGGGGTGAGCTAATTAAGTTTTAGCTGCAAAGCTGAGGCAGCTAATTTTTAGGGCTAAAAACTTGAAAGCAAAAGAAAACACTGTATAGAAACTAATAAACATCCTTACCGAGATCTACCTTCCATGGGCTGTCTGTTAAGTATCTGGATTGGCCCTCTTGCACGAGAATGGATTTTGTCATCTACCATGTGCTTCAACCGCTGATAATATGTAGGACCAATGAAGATCTGTGATGTGATTTTCCGACCAGTGAAGCCATTGTAGAGGACCTGAAGTAGTCAATGAATCATAAGCCTTACTATCCATCAAATGTATATTAAAAAAATACAGTGAACTGATATTTTGATTATACCTCATTTCCTCTGAGATGATAGCCATAATCTGATAAAAGATTGGAAATCTTCTGCACATTGACAGCATCATTAAAAGGTGTAGCATCACCAATTTCTCCCTTGTTTGCGGACACCTACAGAGAAGAGATTTGCAAAAGTCAGATTTCTGAAGGACTGGTCAGACAACATTAAGCTATTTCAAACAGTTTTAATGCCAGAATTTGAGATTCAATGCCCATGATAGTAGCCTATCTTGCTTTGTTTATCACCTACACAATTCATAGTAAGATTTTTTAAAATACACCCTGTCAACAATTTTGCTACTCCTTTTTCTAGGTCACAGGAAATATTTGGAATAAATAAAAGCAACAGATGAGAGAGTACCCTGTAGTCTGGCTTGCTGGACAAAATTTACAGGACTATAAGTCTTCCCCAAGAAACTTGCTTTTGCTATCAAGTAACTGGAGGACAATCCTTACTTTTTAGTGGATTAACACCTACCAGGGAGTAGATTCTTCACCCAGAAAAAAAAATTTTAAAAAAGGAAAAAATAAAGAAAACCATTTTAATTCATACCACTAAGACACACAGCATAAAAGAGTCTTCTCACCTTCCCCTGAAGACACTCAATTAAGTGACCAATGGTCATACGGGAAGGGATGGCATGAGGGTTGATGATTATATCAGGTGTGATGCCTTCACAGGTGAAGGGCATATCCTAGAGCAGGGAAACAGAGAGTCAGTACTGCCTAGAATATCAGCTTTAAGAAAAGCAGTTCCATGGATTCATATAATCACATAAGAAGCTGTGTCTCTTTCTAAACATATTTTAGCTAAATTTAAGTCAGTATATTGCACCCTAGTAGACACTCCACAGACAACTCAAGACAGTTCCAACGCTAAGAAGATCAGAAAGAAAATGTTAAGAAGGAAAAAAAAAAATACATATATCAGTACCTCTTGCCTGTACTGGATACCACAGGTTCCTTTCTGCCCATGTCTGCTGGCAAATTTATCTCCAATTTGTGGGATTCTTACAGAGCGTACCTGTAAGCCATAGGAAAACATTCAATTGGTAACTTAAACACAGGACAAAAATTATTAAAAAGTAGAAAGCACACACATCAGTGCTCACCCTAATCTTGCAGAACTTGTATCCTTCCTGGTTAAGGGTTACCATGACCTGATCTACAATACCAGTCTCACTAGTTCGCAGAAAAGTGCTACAGTCTCTCTTTGTGAAACGTCTGTTAGTGCTTTCCAGTTCATCTTCATTTTCTGGCAGTGTTACTGTTTTGCCAATGATGACATCATCCCCAGACACACGTACACCAGGTGCTATCAAACCATCATCATCAAGTTTGTCATAGATTGCATGTCTCATACCTTGGAAAAAAGAAAAAAAAAGTAGACTCCCAAATTTTTCAACATACTGACTTTGACATTCTGTAGAAATTCAACGAGTCTGCTTGCAACTTCAGGACTACCGCTGAAATGTCTATAATTTTATGCAAATATCTCAACTGATGTATTTTGCTATTAATACAGACATTTCTATTTTATGTGTCCCAAAATAAAGACCGCATCAGTTCAACAATGTTAAAAACCTTGCCCACAATAGATTAGTTTAAAAACTCAGTCTTCATACACTCCTAGATCTTCTTACCTTGGCAAGTTTCACGCGTAGGCTTTTCAAAAACTTCTTCTTGGTCATACCCTTTTTTAGACTCTTGCTCTTTGTACGAGCGATAGAACACAGATCTGAAACAAAATTACAAAGCCTTCTCCAGTGAAACCAGCATCATTTTTCCTCATCTGTACATCTCCATTTCACTTATCACATATTATGTCTACTGTTACTAATGAGAACCAAAACAAATAACATTCACATGCCACACAACCTTTCCTTTAAAGTCTTGTTAACCTGTCCATCACTGAGGAGGGGAAAAACAAAAATAAAAACCACCAAACAAAAACCAATTTCAGGTGGCATTTTGATGGCCGCTTTTCAGATATTGCCAAGCACCTATAGATAACATGCTAATTTTTGATGAACTGCAGAGACCTTCAGATCTGCTTGACATCTCAAAAGTAGTTATTATTCCTAAAGATTATTCACACCTTCATCATATTATCCTCATACTACTTTTCTCCTTATACCTGCCATTTTGC